AATCATTCGCACTAGGTCATGATTAAGTTTCCTTAATACGTTTCTGAATTTCCGTTAAGCCTGAATTTCCATAACGTTATCTTCTCGCGATATTGTTCTGTAATTTCGAATTCATTTTCGAATTCATCTACACTCAGAATTGGTTCAACTTCCACATCGGCATTAGATAGCGTTTCGGTTTTAGCATTAAGCTGTTCTAACAATTCTTCGAGCTCATTAATACTACCTTCAGATTTATTTAATTCACTTTCGATTTTCTTAAATAGTTTTGTAACGGCAGTTCTTAAGATACTTCTTTTCTTTTTAATTTATCTACTTCAGCCATTATCTTTCTTAGATTCAAACACTTACACAAAAAATATACGTCTCATGAAAACAAATATTTAACTCTTACTTAGAAAATAAAATTATTCTTTTGCTGAATACTTCAAGAACAAGTATTAAAATCTTCAATTTTAATATTCAGATTTTGAATTCACTTTATTAGAACTTTTCAAAAAACCTGGCGTCCCTGTTCGGGCGCCATAAAAATGTTGCATCAGGTTCTTCTATTTACAATAAAATTAATGTAAAATTCCTTACCTGCTGCATCTTCAGTGTTCACGACGCCAGGCTTCTAATAATCACGTTTTCAGTAAGAGTTTCTATTACTGCTAACAAGCCATCTTGTCTTTTAATTATTTATTGAAATAATAAGCTAATATACACTATTTACAAGGTAGGTGATAATTATTTTAAGAGAGTGCATTTTTAATTCTGAGTCTTTACGCTCCTCAGAGCGGTTCCAATCTCGACTGCTTCTCGGAACTTAATTACAGCAAAAGTAAAGGAAGAGATGCCCGCCACCTAGTGGCAAGAATGTGACATGGATAATGTAATCGTCTTTTATCATGGATTTTACTTCAATGAATATGACTTTTCGACCTGTATGTTACAACTATGGAGTGATTGTAATTATGATATAGTTTACAACTCTCCTGGAAACCTTGCGGTGTTAGCGTAAATGAGAGTTTGCAAAGATATGTTTGGATAGCTATGATACATTTTATGACTGCCCTGGAAACCTTGCAGTGTTAACGTAAAGGGGAGTTTGGAAAGATGTGTTCCCATGACCATGATATACTTTATGACTCCACCTGGAAACCTTGCGTTGTTAACGTAAAGTGGGAGTTTGGAAAGATATGTTTTGACTTTTTATGTCTATTTTGCAACTCCCCTGGAAACCTTTCGGTGTTAACGTAAAGGGAAGTTAAAAATATAGGTTCCAATCTTATAAGCGCCCTGGAAACCTTGCCGTGTTAAAGTAAAGGAGAGTTATAACTTTGGAGTCGTGGTAGTTCTGCTGTATTTCACAACTCCCCTGGAAACCTTGCGGTGTTAATATAAAGGGGTGTTGTAACTTTGGAGCCGTGGTATTTTGATACATTTCACAACTCCCTTAGAAATCTTGCGGTGTTACCGTAAAAAGGAGTTGTTGCAAAATACATGACAATCATGTGAACGTTGTTGAACAAAATAATTCTTCCTTTACACGTTGTGTTTTACCCAATGCTATGAATTTGTTTGTGACGAGTTTAAAGAGTTTTTAGTAAACAATGTTGAACCTGGCTGAATTTTATAAAGTCTCAAAATGGTTTGCAATCATGAGCAAGATCCATACGGAAAGCACTTTATTTCAATTTGGGACACTATAAAGGCTAAGAGCCAAAGTTTATTTACAATGTTTCCAGATTCCCGCATGGTGGACGTCTCTGAAAATGAAACTATTTTTGTTTGCCAAATTTGTCGGAACATATTCAAGAACGAACCAGAAGAGATGCATTGAAGCTGACAGAGAGAATTTTAAACAAAATAGAGTTTTCACCAAGATGGACTGGAGCGACTTTTTTGTTTTCCACTCAACCAAGATTGACTTTTGTTTCCCGCCATTTGTTTCCCGCCTAACTAAAATGGACTTGTGCGACTATTTTGTTTTCTTTCCTCCCTAACCAAGATTGATTGGAGCGACCATTTTGTTTTCTCTTCTTCCTAAGCAAGATAGTTTCAACAACCATTTTGTTTTCTCTTCTTCCTAAGCAAGATAGTTTCAACAACCATTTTGTTTCCCACCTATCCAAGATAGGTTTGAACTACCATTTTGTTTTCTCTCCTCCAAGATGGATTTGAGTACCAATTTTGTTTCCCACTTAACCAAGATAGGTTTGAACAACCATTTTGTTTTTCTTACCTAACCAAGAGTAATTTGAGCATCCATTTTGTTTTTTCTCTCCTAACCAAGATTCACTTGAGCAACCATTTTGTTTCTAACCTGAAAAATATATTTTCTAAATGTGTTCCGGTGTTCGACTGCTTTTGTGACCGACTGTAGGTAAAGTTTCTTTACGTTTTTGTTTTTAAAGTCCGAAATTCATTTAGCATTCACTCTTTTGTTAATTTTATAACAGAAACACTACATTAACGACTGACCTTAACGACTGACGACGTATCAATTTAGTGCGCAGCCACCTGACTAAGCAAACAATTTAAACACATTCCGCCCCTTGAAACGGCCAATGCTAATCAGATGGCTTTTACAGACGCTGAATAGACTGAAGTTATAGCTGAGAGCCTTGCTACACAACTCAGTCTAAATAACGGCTCCTACTGTAAACACCCGGTTACACAGGGGCGCATACACTGACGTGCTGATAGCACAACCTATCACGCCTGATCTCATTCCTATTGACGCAGCTGAGGTGTTAGGATTCATTGATAAAATGAAACCCAATAGGGCACCAGGCATAAATTCAACTTCGAATCGCATGATCAGAAACTTTCCCGTAATATATATAGTGTGGATCATGGTCCTAATTAATCTAATGCTTAAGAAGTGTTACTTTCCTTACGGTTGGAAAATTGCTGCAGTCATTCCTATTCCCAAACCGGGAAATTTAAAATTTTCCCGTCAACTCTATACCAATTACTCTATTATCATATATCTCAAAATCCCGGAACAATTTGGCTTCCAGCCTCAACACTCTAGGGTACACCAGTTACTCAGTGTTGTAGAATTCATTCACGAGGGCTTTCTAAACGAAGGAAAATTGGAATTGTCTATCTTGACATTACTGAAAACCTTTAACAGCTCTTGGCATGACGGGCTTATTTACAAGCTCATGCGGCTTGGTTTTTCAGCGCAACTCATTAAAATTCTCAACCGGTACTTGACAGGTAGATCCTTTCGACTGCCAGTTAGCCACGAATACTCTAATGCCCGCTCAATCTATGCCGGCGTCCCTTGGGGAAGTTTACTTTTACCTCAGTTGTTGAACATATTTGTTACTGATATTCATAAGTCACCTAGTGTCGATCTAGCTTTACATGCGGAAGACACTTCCATCCTTTCTCAACATTCCAACATCACCACGGTAATTTGTGCACTTCAGAATTATCTTTCCTGCCTAGAGCTATGGCTTTGACTGTGGAAAATCAAAATTAATGTCGCAAAATGTACTGCCACTTTATTCATCCGAAGAACTCACTCCAATTTATCTAACTTGCAATTCTTCGGAGAACCAATACCCTGAGTTCCTACTTACAAGTATCTAGGAGTGATACTTCATTCTAAACTTACCTGGCAACCTCACATTCAAGATTTTCCAATACGAAGGTTGTCAAACTGCAATTACTGCCCCAGAGCCGTAGCTAGGGTTTACAGCGCCCAGGGACAACTGAAGATTTCGCGCCCCCTACTGCTTGCCAAGGATGGAAAACATTTAATTCTAAAATGTCATAACATCAGTTTGGCGCCCCTTGGATTCTGCGTCCGGGGACAGATGCCCCCCTTGCCCCCTCTAGCTACGCCCCTGTACTGCCCTCTTTCGCTATAAAAAGCGACCTGTCGACGAAAAACAAGATCCTGCTCTACACATCAATGATAAGGCCTATTTTGACATATGTAAAGTCTGTATGGATCGCAGCAGCAATTACTAACAGAAAACATATCCGAATTTTCCAAAATATTATGCAACGGTAAATTTACATAGCTCCTTGGTTTGTTAAGAACGAGAATATTCATAATGCTGCCAAAATTCTTCTCTTGAATTGCTTTATACAGCGACTCTCGGTAAACTTTTCCAAAACGATTCCTTCGATTGGAAACCCCGTTCCCCATGCATTGCCTATTTATCATCCTGGAATTGCTTCCTCAAAGAAAAGATGCAGAGCTACTCTGGAAAACGCATACAATGCGTTACCATTTCCAAAGGGGCGTTGCTGTGTGGACAAGGCGTCTCAAAGCTTATCACTATACTCGTTCAATGCACCCACCCCGCTGAGTGAATTAGCTGTTCTTTCAGCTTCGTTAAGGTCTTTCTCTTTATCCTATAAACGAGCTTTATTATCTCTTACAACTGTAAGCGACTGCAGTTTAACTTAAACACTTCTTTGTTCCCCGTTAAAACGGTTCGCGTGCACCTTCTAATGTTAAACTTCAATCTCTTCCAATCATACAAAAGATAATTAAGAGAATTTATCTTTTGTATGATTGGATCATAACACTTAAAATTAAAACTACTTATTTATTTATCAATCCAGTTTTTCCTCAGGGGCAGATCTGGCCCTGTCTCTTTAAATCTAACTCGCCTAACAAGTTCTCACACCGCTTCCTCCCCAGACAGGAATCACTTGCGACGTGAATGACCTTTGGAGAGCGGTTTCTTTCTCGTATTGTTACACACATGACCATTGCTCAAGGAAACATAGAATCTTTTGAAAAGTCATGATGTAACCCTTCAAAACCGATTCTGGTCCTTTTTTGATATCAAAATTATTAAATTAAGTCCTTTAGTATTTTTCTCATTTTTCACTGGGGAAGGCAGTTTACCATTTGTTTATTATTAACAATTCGATAATAAATTTACCTCTTTGCGGAATCCTCTATTTGGTGATAATAATTAATCTTTGATGATGTGGGGATAAAGGCATTAAGCCTGCCCAAGGCCAACTAGATAGGCCTGCCTCGCAATTGAAACCTTTCTAGGTCCCTAGAAAAAATTGAAATAATAATTTCTCTGGCAACATGGATTAGGAGGGAAGTTGAAATATTTACTACTAGGTATTTGTTTTATGGGTATTTTATGTAAGTTTGACGCTCGTTTGTTACTTTATACATAATGTTATTATTAAGCTTATGAATATTAATAATCCTGTAAAATATCTGATAAGCAGATGTTATTCGTTTTTTGATTAACTTTTTCTTTTGTTTACTAATTTTTCTTCCTGTTTAGATTTCGGATACGGCAACATAAATGGATAATAATGGACAACAAAGCTGTAAAGCGGGGTGAAATGCTTAGGATGTAGGATATGAGATCAATTTTTTGCATTATTTTATTAACATTTAATCAATATACGGCCTAACTGAATGTGAGTTCAGTTGTGGAAGCGTGTTTAAAAACCTTATTCAAGTGTATCATTTGAACGATTTTCGAGCGAGGATGGTAGCCTGAGTACAGAAAATTGCAATTCCTATTAGTCAGGAGCAGGGAAGCAAGTGTTTGAAACAGTGAAGTATATTGCTAGAACATTGTGAATTTTTAAGGCTAGCAATTGGCTGGGGCAAGGGTAATTGACTCTTTTCAGAAAAAACATACAAAATTTTAAAGGAAAGTCTCAAAAGACGGGGAAATAATTATGTGTATACCAAAGAGTTTTAAATTAAATGTAATTCTGAATTTGATTGAATTTGCAGTGCATGGGTATGTGGAGATAATAGTCATTTGAAAGAGGGGATTGAAAGTTGAATTTATTACTTAATTTAGTTGCAAGAGCGAGGCCCGAACCTTTATTCTTTGATGTTGTAAAAATTAAGTCTGCGAGCTTTACTGCTGCCCTAGTAGGGCTGTGTAAATCTAACCATTATTACGATTAGTTTTTAAGATATAGGTGTGGAAACCAGATTAATCTGCACCAGTTTGTTAATTTCTTCAAGAGTTAGAAATAACTTGATTTAAATCAGGTGGGTGACTTTGTATTTGTGTAGGTTGGATTTTAATATAGAGTATTTTGGGGTTATTTTTAATACCTTGAGTTTACTCTGGTCTAAGATTGTTTCAATTTCTCGTGCAATTTGCTTGAGTTTTATAAAGCATGAACTGTTGGGGTTAGAATTTGATTTTAACTTAGCTTTTCTTCCATAGAATTTTTGCCATTCTTAGTATTTTTATTTAGAGAATCAGTTGTAATTAGTGTAGGGAATTGATTTTAATCGTCCTTGGGATTGCGTAAAAGGAGAGAGATGGGAGAATCCTAGGTTCCCCCACCCTCCCGAGGTGCTCTCCCTCAAAATTGGAGGTGGAAACTAGAAGTTCAACTTCTCTTCGGAGTAGGCTCTGGCAACCATTGTTCCATGTAATATAGACAAGACAACAACAATAATTTATTTTTAATCACTTAAATTTTCATACAGTTTGAGGTTGCTGGAATTTAAATAAGGACTATTTTTTAAATCTATGATTTAGTTTTTCTTTTAAAGGGAATTTTGAACATCCACAATGTAAATTTTGATTAGGGCCTAGGAAATTTGCATATTTCAGTGTTTCAAATTTTTCAGGACCCATTTAGGTTGATCTTTACATTATGGTAACTTGGCATTTTTTTGGCAAAAATTTGGCGACCAACTCTCCTACAGCAACCCTCTATTTTTTTTCCCCGCCGCCATTTTGTCTTCATGAAGCAAAGACATGTTCTTTTCTTTTTATCTACTGAACACTTCTTTCCAACACTCTACTAGCCGAATTACCCTATGCTAGAAATTTTATCTAACAAAACTGCTTAATCATGACAAATATTCATGCAAAATTGGAAAAGTGCACAAATACCATACTCCTTACGCGTTTTTCAAAATAACACATACGCATAAACCATGTACATGCCGACTTATTTTTACTTAAAAAACATCCCAGAATACACAAAAATGGCATTGCGCACACTCTTCACTATATCCTGACACTGCTTTTTCTCATAAATTAGAAAATTGGTACTTTTCCGTTTACGCGCAATCGATAAAGTCGCTAATAATGGTGCAACCGATGCCAACGAATATTCTCGCTGGTAACCTTTTACGCCTCATTTTCAAAACAGTCGCAGCTTTTTCTTATCAGATTGATTGTTTCTTTCAATACTGCCATATAATTACATAGAATTTTTTATCAGATAGTCAGTTTATGTCCAAGGCCATTTTCGGTATTAAGTCAATTAGGATCACAATCACAGCGCTTACCCGAAGCCGAAATAGAAAAGGTAAAGTCAAGATTAATTCAAATCAATCTAATGAGAATGCATTAGCGAAGTAAAGTACTCAGTTTTACATATTTCTGAGTAAGCTATTCGTACGAATTGAAATATTTTTTGCATTTAAACTTGTGTTTCCAATTCAGATTTTAACTTGAAATTATGTAGATAATTACTGAGAGCATTAGATTTTTGAGAGATAGTTTACGTGAGAGAGATCGCTTCGGGTCACGTGATAGAACCAGAACGTAGTAATTCTTAAATTGATGTCTTTTTTACAAATTATTGTCTTTTATTTGGTTTTTTTATAAAATTTTAAGCGTATTAAAATTTTATGCCTTTAAAAAAAGAATTCTTAAAAACTAACATTTTTTATGTGTATACTGTATGTGACGCCAATAAGCTGCTTGGCGAGATTTGCGCCGGGAAACGGAAAGTACCGAAATCACGAAATGCATAACAATTTTGAACTTTAAACCGTAAAAGAAATATATGAATTACCTGATCGCGAAAAAGTATATACCCTTCCAAATATGACGTCCCCGTATAAAATAAATAAAATCCAAACTTTTACCTCTACATTATCTATTATATTACAAATCACTAACTAATTCATACGCAAACATTACAAATGGTTACAAAACTTAGTTCAAATATTTAAATTATTCCATGCAGTTTCGCAAATTCTTTACTTCCACCTTACATTAGAACAATGCATAAAATAATATCCTCAAATCTTAAAATACTACTTACTATTTCAAATCTTGATTACGTGTCCGATAACTTTTCTTATTTCTGTTTCAGGTATTAAAATCATCTTAGTTCACACCAAGGTACCATTAAATAACTAACTTAATAAACATCTTACTTCATCTCGCAAACCCTTAAAAAAACCTATACTACCCCTTTTCAATCCCACTAAATACCCATTTCGAATTCACTTTAGTTAGGGCCATGGGATCCAAAAATTAACGAACACTGTTTCACACAACACAGAATAAAGCCAAATACAGTCAAAAGTCGTCAATCCGGACTCATCGGAACTTCGGCGATTCCGGATTATAGATCATCATTTTAAATCTGGTAAGATGGCATGCAGAAATTATAAAATTAAAAATATGAAACCATAATTTATGAAATAAAGAACAAATATGATCTAAAGGGTATCAAAATTTACAAAAAAAAAGCTTAATATTTATTTGTTTACTTTATTAAACATTTCTTTCAATGTAAGTTGTTTAAGTTGCTTTGTTTTATGTGATAATACTTTCTCTTTAAATCTATAAACAGACATAATTTCTTGTTCAGTTACAAAGTTCCGCTGTTCAAGTCCTATAATTCTGTGTCGAGAATACCGACTAATTTGTCAGTCGAAATGTTTTCGTTTTCAATAACCTCTGTGTCACTTTCTTCACTATCGGAAGCGAATTATAATGACGAGAAATTTGATTTAAATCATATCAAAGACGGAGTACATCGAGATGAAATACTACATTTATTAAGAAATTATAAGCCAAATAAAATAAAAACATCTGCCCTGAAGATAAGGATAGTGCTGACAGATCAACTTCCGATTCATTGTGCGCCGCGGCGTGAAATTGATAAACAGATTTTGGAATGGTTAGAGAAACGAAGGATAAACAAACGTTAAAGTTTAGATAAACAAAGGATATACCTTTATCCATTTTTTGCAGCAATTCCACTTTTTGTTTAATGGACTTCGAAACATACTTTCGCTTTGTAGATCCTTTACATATTAGTAAATATATATCAGAAATTCTATTCGACATAATCGAAAGTTCAAGCGTACTTTTATAAAATTGCTCTAACAGTCTGCAAAAAATACTAAGCCGGATCCAATTCGAAGATTAAGGAACAACGCAATCTGCAACATTAACTGAATTAGATAATTTTAGCTTACCTTATACCGTCCGTTATACATTAAACGCGCATGCATAAAAGTATTATGCGCATGCGCACACGCATATTCGCAGTCGTAAAAGTCTTACGCGCATGCGTCAAAGCGAGGCATGCGCAGAAAGTTTGTAGCTTTGAGGTCCGGATTATAGATCATTCCGGATTATGGGTGTCCGAATTAACGACTTTTGACTGTAGAAAATTTCCAGATTTTTTCCCGATTTCCCCCCTTTTCCGATTAAAGAACCGTAATTCGTCCATTAATATCACATGACATATCCCATGATCTCTCATTTCCCTCATACAAAATAATGCGTAATCGGAACTGAGTACTGCTTACGTTATTACCAAAGTCCCAGGTAGTAACCTTTATCGCCTCCAAAATGTCGCCAAACTACCAGTTACCATATTCTAAAGATCAGCCCACATTTATAATTTCTGGCACATTTTATTCACTTGGATGCAAGGTAATAATTTTCCAACAAATGAGTGACTTTCTGACAGTTATGAAACTGTGAGTCGACATTTTTGTTTTTGATAGTCATAGTTGTTTTCTATTAGTATTGCAATATTATCATATTGTAAGCCTTATTTTTTAAAAATTATATAATACTTTTGTTTCAAAATATGTAATATGTATCAAATATGAACAGTAGATATATAAGGGGGGCATCTATCTTTTGGAATTTGAATCAGCTATAAAATAAAATAATAAATATTTTTTCAAAATTATGAGTTTATTAGAAATATTGGATATTTTCATTTAAGAATGAAACACAACCTCATTCAAATGGCTACCACGGCTGGCTTGACTGTGCCCCATCTGATCAACCCAATTTTTCAGTACATTTTAAATTGTTTCGGCTCCAATCGCGTGAACGGCAACTTTGTTTTCATGTTTCAAGGTGACAATCGCCTCTGGGTGCTTAG